TCTTATGGCACAACAATATTCCATCACAATCATATACCAAAATTTGTTCAGCCATTCCCCAGCTGAGGGGCATCCCCATAATTTCCAAACCACAAAAAGAACTACTATAAGTATTTGTGTACATATAAGTCCTTTTCTTTTTATCTCTTTGGGATACAGACTTTGTGGTAGTATTGCTGGGTCAAAGTTTTATAGCCCTTCGGACGTAGTTCCAAATTGCTCTCTAGAATGGTTGAATCAATTCACAACTCCACCAGAATGAGTCATTCTAGATAGCTGAAGACTAGCAGAAGCTTGTTTATTTGAACTTATTTGATAGAAATCTTTAGAAACTATACTTTAATTGCTCTGCATTCTTTTTTTTTTAAAAGGCAATTGGGGTTAAGTGACCTGCCCAGGGTCACAAAGCTAGTAAGTGACAAGTGTTTGGTCTGAGGCTGGATTTGAACTCAGGTCCTCCTGACTTCAAGGCCAGTGCTCTATCCACTGCGCCACCTAGCTGCCCCCATTACTCTGCATTCTTAAGTTATTGTTTTACAATGCAGAGGCAGATGTAAATTGTGTGGGATGTGGGCTGAATGATTGTTTGTCCTTATACTACTACTGTATTTATTGAATACCTCTCCCCTTTCTTGTCACCTAGAATGTTATGCAAATTTTCCATAAGTGCATTCCCACTGCATACATGGACTTTGCTGTCACTAGCATGATACAATCAGCAGCAACCCCACTGAGCTGACATCTGGAAAGGTATGCTTTCCTCTTTCCTCTTCTTTCCCATGGAGTACTGGCCCTAGGACCTTCCACCTCCCTTTTCCCTGACCTCCTCTGAGGCTGCTACCTTCTCGTGTAACCATCACACACCTCTCTCTAGGATCCTGCCTACCCAAGGTGTCAAATTGCCTCGATGCACTACTTGACCTAGGGAGTGTACCCAGCTGCCATCCATATTCCCTTCCCTCCCCAGGCCCTGTCCCCTTCTGCCCTCCCTTTTCACGGTGTCCTCTGAAAATCACTGTAAAACTCCTCTTCATCTTAGATCTCTGTCCTCTATTATTCTTTTCATCTTCTGGTATTCAATGAAACCTAGCTTTTTCCTGAAGACACAACATCTCCTGGCCCTTTCTCCAAGGTTGGCTGCTCCTTCTCTCATGCCCCCAACAAACCGGGCCAGAAGGAGGGGTTGGCATGTTCTGCTTCTCCAGCCCCACTTTCAGATTCTTTCTCTGTCACAATCACTCAAGAATCTTGTATATTCCTTTAAAACTCATACCATCCTGTCTAGAGCTTGTTGCTGTCATCTCCTTCCAGAAAGTTCAGTACCTACCTGGCTCTGCTTTCCCACCTCCTGTGACCCCTGTCTCCAGTCTCCCATAATTACCCAAAGGGAGCACTTATCAACTCTTTAACACTTCCCTGCTACCCTCCACTAACCAGGCCTGACCCTGCTTAGCTTCCAAGATCAGACGCCAGTGCGCTTCCTGGCCGGTCTGGCAGTGGACAGTGCCTTAAACCCAAATCACTCTGGCTCTCATTGATTGGCCAACAATAGACCGGTCCCAGGCCAAGCCACACTCAGTCATTATTTGAGCCCTGATTGGCTCAAAGTGAATGTAAATAGTAATTATTTCTCTTTTGGCCAGAAACCCTGAGGGTCTTCTCCTCCCAGATTGATTTTTTTTTTTAACTAGGTAAAAGAGACTATTCTCTGCCTCAATTTTTTACCTAATCTTAATTCGCTGAATGGGCATTGCCTTAGTAAAACTGAGACCTGTTAAAGACCTTAGATTAAAAAGGTGCATCTAGCCCTGTCTGCAGGTATCCTGATCTATATTTTGTCACTGGACCCAGATGGTTCTGGAGAAGAAAGTGAGGCTGATGATTCTGCACAGCCCTCTCTCACTTAAATCAGATTCACTTGCATGTCGTGGCATCACCTCCCTGATGTCATGGTCCTCTTCGAGAACAAAGGACAAACAACGCCCCCCCCCCCAACTTAATGCTTCAGGAGCTCTGCTATTTGAACTGTGAAGTACAGGGGGCTTTGTTCCAATCAGAGTACAGAGCAGTTCCTTCATCGGCTTCTTTGTGGTCACTGGTTTTCATCTGTATCTGCCACTTAATACTATACTCCAGACTTCTGATTTCCATACATTCTCCTTTCTCCTGCCTTCCCCTCTCCTTCTCTCAGCTTTTCACCACTGTTGTTTCCTTTCATTTCTCCCTTTTATTTTTTGGAAACAAAAGGATTTCTCTTTCATCAGAGGTGATTCTTTACCTCTCTGCAGAAAACTGACCAGTCATACTATATCAAGTGTCCTTTCTGACTCTTCAGCTCTTTCAAGTTTCCCCGGAAGTCTAGCACCTTTCTTCCCAATACTTAGAATTATAATTCTGGAAAGGGCACTTTGAGATTGTCTAGTCCAAACCCTTCCTTTTATAAATGAGGAGACTGAGACCCAGAGGAGAAGGGGATTTGCCCAAGGTAAATAGGTTTGGAAGTCTGTCCTTTAAGTAGCCGAGGATTCATTGGATTGTGCTTACGTGTAGAAGAAAAGGCTACATTTCCAGTTATTGTTAGGAATCATAAGTGGAGCAGAGGTTGAGAAGTAGAAATCTTGGTTGAGAATTTAAAGTTTAAGGATCCTGGACTTTTGTCTCTGAGTATATTCCGACCAGATCAGTGGAACCAAGTAGTTTGTAATTCAAGTGCTGCCCAGCTTTCTGTTTTCTAGATGAAAGTGATAAAGGGTATTCAGATGAAATCAGTCCACTGAAAAATCATTTAAAACAATATTAACGATCAAGTAATTATGCAAGTTTATAGTAATGATATGACTGTACCTACTTGTAATTCCCCAGGTAATGGATTCAAATTACATTATTTCACTTTGATTTTTCAAAAAAATTTGGAATTTTATTGTAGAAAATCCATACCAATTTCAAGAATCAGCCAGCAAAAAGTAATAGTTTCTGCTATGTAAATCAAATGAAGGTTTAAAATGAAAACCATCTTTTAAAAAAACCTACAGAGTACACATCTTAATTCTAGATCTTTTCTCTTTATCCTTGCAACAGGGAAAGAGAAGTCATACCTACGTGTCCCTGGGCAAGGAATCATCCACATCTTTAAAGGCTGTGGACAAGTGAAAATTCTGCACAAGAATCCCAAGAAGAAAAGTGAGATTTCTTCCATACCCAATAAATTTTAGTCCTTAGGTAGGTGCAGAAAATGGGAAGAAGAGCCAGTCACATATGGTTAGAACCCAGTCTAACTCCTTATCACCGTTGTGTTTAAGAACTGTCTCAGAACTTTGTTCAGAATATTACTTACTCAGATAATTATAATTATGTAGAATTTATCTATCTCCCTTCATATCACATACCATTCAAAAGATCCTGGGTTCTTGGAACTTTTTATTCAGTCAGGTACTCCAATGATACTTTATAGATATTTCTGATAAATTATCTGAATTCTCGATAATTGAATCAAACTTTCATTATTTACTTATTGCACTGTATTACAGAGAAAGATGGCTACCTTGAAACTTTTTTTTTAACCACATTGTATGTCTGTGATGGATACTAGCCAGTAAGAGAAAATTAGACTTTTTTATTCTGTGTATTCTGTTTGTGTTCATTATTTAACAAACCTGCTTTGCAACTTTTATTGCCGAGAAAAGTAATTCTTGGCTAGTTGCTCTGTTTGGGGATCTTTTTATTTAATTGTTTTTGTATTATAATGGTCATAGTTATAGGTAACCATCAGAACATTTAACCTCCTAGCACTGTATTTGTTAATCCAGGGTTTCATACACGGCAGACTATTTGCCTCCTTACCAATCTAAAAAGGGCAAGGAGCTTGCTATTTTTTATTTTTCAGGCGTAGTTAGCATTATGTTTTCCCTGTTGATGTGGGGAGCAGTGAATGATCCAAAATAGCAGGTAATCTGTTTTCCCTTTTAAGTCCCATCTCATTTAGGAAATAATTTCTCCTGATTTCTGGTCATATAGGTCTTCCCCTTTTCTAGATTCTCTTGTTTTTATTTTCTGTCTATGCTGCGCAGTTTTAAAAAATTACATGATGTGTTAGTTATCTAATTGGTTCACACTAATGTCTTATCTGCCTAACTAAATAATAAACAACTTGTGGCCAGCAAATAGTACTTATAGAGTTAAACCTTTTTAACATTTTACCACCGGTTAAAGAATATGGCCAATATTTCAACTTCCTTTGTGCCCAGTTTCACGTTTATGCAGGAGACCAGGTGTGGTAACTGCCCTCTGGCAGATGATTTGCTAGCGGCACACCCGCCAGCGTCCAAAGCAAACTGCCAAGTAGGACAAGGTGTCTTTGGTGCCTTCCTACTTGCTGGCCCCTGGGTCCCTGCCCTCTGCCCTTGTATTTCCTTTTGGCTATCCAGAGCCTTTTCTGCTTTCCTCATCCCAGTGGAGTCCTGGTCAGCCTTGCTGTGCCTCAGACTCCCCACCCCCGTAGGTTAGCTTCCCCTCCCAACCACTCCTCAATCACAATTTCAGCAAATCTCATGTTTGAAGCAACAAGATTGTCAGATAACAAATTCATATTAAGATGCGCATGAGTGTTAGGGTTGTGCCTTACTAAGAGGAATTGGATTTTAAACTCACGTTTGTGTGTAAGTTGGCAATGTGTTTGCTTCACAATAGTGATGTAAGGTAGCTAATATAAGCATTATGACAATACTTTTACAAACGATGAGATTGAGCTTTTGTAACTTGCTCATGGACACAGCTGTGTTTGAAATAGGATTAGAAACTGTGTCTCCTGATCTTAAGTCCACCATTCCATCTCCTGTGTTGTGCTACTTATGGTAAAAGAAGACAAAGGCAGGGGCAGTGAGGTGGCGCAGTAGGTAGAGCACTGGCTTTGGATTCAGGAGGACCTGAGTTCAAATCCGGCCTCAAACACATAACACTTACTAGCTGTGGGACCCTGGCCAAGTCACTTAACCCCATTGCCTAGCCAAAAAAAATAAAATAAAATAAAAGAAGACAAAGGGATGTGCTATGGAATTATTTTTCGGGAGAGGGAACTTCTTCTAGCCTCTTGTCAACTCAGGGCCTCTCCTGGGGTCCTTTTCTACTCCCCAGGATATGAAGACTCTTATGTTATGAAGGATTACAGAGTCCTAGCTCTAGAGCTGGAAAAGACTTCAAAGGAGCAGCATCACTTGTCCTTCAGGAAGATGGGAGAGGCCTGGCCTTTAGTGCCCTCACGTGGGATTCTGTGTGATCTAATTACAGAATTTCAGAGCAAGAAATGATTCTTGTCCTCTCCCTCCCCTTCTGTGTCATAGATGAGGAGACCATGGCCCAAGGTCACACAGCCAGTAGGGTTTTTAGTATTCCCACTCCCTAACCCCAGTGCTATGCTTCCTCTATCATATCCTGTGTCTCCTATTATTAAATGACTGTGCCTGTGGCAATATAACTGATCAGTTCACCAGAGAGCCCGGATGTTTGTCAGGAAGTAAATTGAAAAGACTTTGTTTTAGTGCCTGGATGCTAATGATCTATTTATGTTGGCTTGCCTACCTGCCAGCCTGGCCCTGATAGGCAGGAGACCTACCTTGCATAAACAGGGAGATCAAATTTTAGAAAATCATTGTAGGACTAAGAGGAAAAGAGTGGTGGAAGGGCAGGAGAATTGCCTGGGAGAAGAGTAAGTAGCCAGGTAGTTCCAGGGACTTAAGATGAACCTGTCAGATTCAGGTCCAAGAGGGTTGTAAAAAGGGAATAAGGAAGAGAAACACTGAAGGTACACAGAAGGTACACAGAAGAGAACACATAGGGCCCTGAGATTATTGCAGATGTGTGCTTTGTACTTAACTCTGCTACTTTCATTTATTTTCTTTTTTATTTCCAGTTTACCTGGGCTCGAGCTAAGACTGGAGAAAAGTCCCTTTGACCCTTTAGTTATTAGGGTGGTTGCTCTGCAGTAGACAGACCAGGGAGCTGCTGGAAGGCTACGATTTGGGAACTCCTGAGCCCTAGAAAGGGAGGCCAGGGTGACTCTCACAAGGTTGCTGCAGTAAGTTAGTCAACAAGTATCTGTTAAGTGCTTGCTGGCAGATGATTTGCCAGTGGCATACCGAGCAGAGGCCAAAGCAAACTGCCAGGTGGAACAGGGGATCTTTGGTGCCTTCCTGCTTACTGGCCCGCCTGTCCCTGTCACCTGCCCTTATGTTTTCTTTTGGGTATCCATAGCCTTCTCTGCTCCCCTCGTCCCAATGTGGAGCCCTGTCCAGCCCTGCTTTATCTCAAAGTTCCCACCCATAGATAGGTTAGCTTCCCCCCCCAAACATCCCCCAATCCAAACTCATTTCAGCAAATCTCAGGTTTGAAGCAACAACATAGGACTAGTCACGTTGGACGGCTTGGGAGTAGATAGACGCACTAATACAGTGTTAGTGGAGCTGTGTGTCTGTACAGCCATTTTGGGAAGCAATCTGGACTCATGCAAATGAAGCGACGAAAATGTTCATGCCCTTTGAATCAACATTCATTACTGGGTTTGTAGCCTAAGGAGGTCACTAATAAGAAAACCTCCAAATACACCAAAACATTTAAAGCAGCACTTTTTGTGAGGGTAAAGCATTAGAAATAAAGTGGAGGCTGGAGAATGGCTAACCAACTTGTAATATATGAACATAATGGAATATTACTGTGCTGTAAGAAATGATGAATATGGTGAATAAAAGAAGCATGAAAAGACCTGTATGAATTGAAGCAGTGTGAAGTAAGCAGAGCTAAGGAAACAGTATGTGACTATGTATGTAAATGGAAAAAAAAACCCAAAACCACCACAAAATAATTCAAAGTGAGTATTGGAAAATCAAAAAGAATGGTCTCAGAAAAGAGCTAGGAGAAGACACTGCCATTCTGCTGTTTTGCAGAGGTGGTAGGTCCGTGAGTGGCCTTTTCTACCTATGTTTTCGGATGTTTTTGATAGTACTTTTCAGTACTATTGTTTTTTTGTCTTTAAAAAAATACTTTTTGTATGGGATGGCTCTCTGGAGAGGGGACAGAAAGGGGAGAGATACCGGGAGAAGTTTTAGCCAGGGAAAAACAAGGTATTAATAAAACTTTATTTTAAGGGGGGGGCGATGCAGTAGCAGGTAAGGGCTGGTGGTCCTCTGTAATACCAGTAAGGGATAAAGTTGACTCCCATCTCATCTAAGGCATGCCAAGGTCTGTGGTTTGGGGGCTGGAGAGAGAAGGGAAGGCACCCTTCTTGGGTTCTGTGAGGGGAGGGAGGTGAGAAGGGAACATATAGGGGGAAGGACACCCCTGGGGACAGTGGATCTTCCTGTTGAATGGGTTCTGGGACAGTCCTGAGCCAAGGGAAAGGGCCGATTCTGATATAACGACCAGGAAAAATAGGGTTATTTTCTATAAAATTCACCCATTTTCTTTATAGCCTTGATGAGAATAATGATGAGAAATTCTCCCCTCCTCCATATCATCAATTGCCAAGCTTGTTAATTTTACCTTCATAACATCTCTTACATCTTCCCCTATCTCTTCATTCAACACAGCCACCACCTTGACTATTGAAATAGTCTCCTAATTGGCCTCCCAGCTTCCAGTTTTTCTCCTTTCCAATTTATCTTCCACACAGCTGCCAAATCAGTATTTCTAAAGCATGGCACTGACCATGCCACTGACCATGCCACTTCCCCGCTAGAAAAAGGGACTATTCTAGAGTTTATTGCCTCTAGAACAAAACATGAATCCAACTCTGGTGTTTTAGTCAGTCAGAAGCTGGAAGACCTGCCACTACTGGGGGAAACTTCTTTGTCCCTTCCCTTGGCCCAGGGCCATCCTAGAGCTCTTCTAGCAGGAAGAACCATTTTCACTAGGGACAGTTAGGAATAGTCCACAATTTTCCTAACCATCTGCCCTGCCTCTATTCCCTGCAGTCCTCTAGTACTAATTTGACCCAACTGTGTGACCTAAAGATCCTCAGGCCTTGCCCATCAGCCCTCTGATATACCCTTAGGACTTTTGGACATTTCGGTCTGCCCAGCAACCGAACTCTCTTTTATGTGTTGTTTCTTCCAATTAGAGTGTGAGCACCTTGAGAAGAGGACTCTCTTGCTTTTTCTATTGATATTCCTACTGCTTAGAACAGTTCTTAATACATAGTAAGTACTTAAATGTATTTTCATTCATTCATAATCTGGCCCCAGTCTCTCTGTTCAGATTGATTTAGTATTATTCCTGCTGAACTGGCCTGTTTACTGTTCTTTGTGTACAATATTCCACCTCTCCCTGTCCATGCTTTTGCGTGGGTAAATACCATGCTTGGAAATGCTCTCCCTCCTCACCTCCATCTCTCAAAATCCTTGTTGTTACTGAGTCATTTCAGTCATGTCCAACTTTTTATCACATCTTCCTTCAAAGCACAGTTCTGATGTCACTTCTTATCTTTTTATTTTTATTTATTTAAAATTTTTTTTTATTTTTAGGCAATTGGGGTTAAGTGACTTGCCCACGGTCACACAGCTAGTAAGTTTCAAGTGTTTGTTCTGAGGCCAGATTTGAACTCAGGTCCTCTTGACTTCAGGGCTGGTGCTGTATCTACTGAACTACCTAGCTGCCCCAATGTCACCTCTTATAAAAGATCTCTCTGGTTATTAACATTCCCTTCTACCTCCTTGTGTGTGTGTGTGTGTGTGTGTGTGTGTGTGTGTGTGTGTGTGTGTGTGTGTATGTGTACCAGAAAATCATCAACAAACTTAACATTTCTTTTTTTTAAATAAATTAAATTTTTTTTGATTAACAGAAACACACCTGTTGTCTCTTCTACCTCCTCCCTACCCCGCTGAAAAAAAGGACAAAACCCTTGATACAAGTATGCATGGTCAGACAAAACACATTGGACATATCCCAAAAATACAAGTTTCAATCTGTGCCCTGATTGCTTACCCTCTCTTTTCCTAAAACTCAGGTTCAACCATGTCATTCCTCTACTTAAAAAAACTTCAATGGCTTCTTATCACCTCCAAGATCAAGTATAAAATCCTTTGGTATTTAAAGCTGTTTATAATCTAGCGCCCCTCCCTTCAGCTTTCCAGTCGTCCTACACCTTCCCCCCTACAACCTACTCTTTCACCTAGGGACACTGGTCTCTCTGATGTTCCTTGAACAAGACGTTCGTTCCGTCTCCCAACTCTGGGCATTTTCACTAGCTGTCCCTCGTGTACGGAATGCTGTCCCTTCCCATCTCCACCTCCTGGCTTCCCTGGCTAAGTCTAGCTAATATCTCACCTTCCATAGGAAGCTTTTCCCCAATCCCTTTTAATTCTAGTACCCTTCCTCTATTGATTATTCCTATTTATCCTGAAGTAGCTTGTTTGTATATAGCTGTTTGCATGCTGTGTCCCCTATTACATCATGAATTTGGACAGGGACTGTCCAGACAGTCTTTTGCCTCTCTGTGTATCAGTACAGGGCCTGGCATATATAGCAGGCACTTAACACTTAAATGTTTATTGACAGTGACTGACTGTCTAGAGGTGGCTATCACTTTTCATCATGAGCCCTCTGGAACTGTGGTTTTTCATTTGCATTGATCAGAATTCTTATATCATTAAAAGTTGTTTACCTTTATAATATTATTGTTATTGTATAAATTGTTCTACTGCTTCTGCTTATTTCACTCTGTATCAGTTCAAATGAGGCTTCCTAGGTGTCAGCGAAACTAGCCACTTCATTTCCAGTAGCATAATCATACTCCCTTACTTTTATAAACCATAATTGTTTCTTAGCAGTTCCCCAACTGAGAAGCACCCCTTAGTTTAAGGTTCTTTGCCACTACTAAAAGGGCTGTTATAAACATTTTCATGCATATCAACCCTTTTCCTCTTTCTTTGATGTCTTTGGGGTGCAGATCTAGTAGTGATATTGCTGGGTCAAAGGGTATGGACACAAACATGAACATTCCACACTTAAATAAGGCCAGAAAATGGAACTTGTACATAAAACCACAAATTCATTACATACAGCTTTAATATTTTAACATACACTAAATTTTATACAGTAATAACTTGTTATTCCATATCCAGTATATCCTGTTAATCTGTGTCCCTTTTTGAACCCCATTCTCTTTCCTGTACATTTTACAAATGCTTATTGGTGTTCTTTTTTCCTTTCTTCTCCTTTTTCCAATCAGTATCCCTACCATATCCCTGAATAAAAGCTCTCTCTTGTAAGAAAAGCATAGTTAAACAAAACAAATTTAGGTTGTGGTCCTGTCTGGAGATATATGCTCTGTTCTACACCTACAGACATTTGGGAGACATTCATCGTCAATCTTTTCGAATTATTGTTGGTCACAGTATTGTTCAGAGTTCTTTTTTGTGTATACTTTATTTGTGTGTGTGTATTCTGTCTCCCCAGTAGACTGTAAGCTCCCTGACTTCAGAGGCTGTCTTGCTTTTATCTCTGTAGGCCAGTACTTAGCTCAGTGCTTTGCACATAGTAAGTGCTTAGTAAAGATCTGTCAAATTGAATTGAAATGCTTAATTGTGTATAAATGCTTTCTTGGTTAATATTATTATTCCTTGTATATTAGGAATCTGAAGTACTCATCTCTAGAAATGTCAGACAAAGAAGAAGATCAGTATGTCAATTCATCCAGTGACCTTGCTAAAGGTGATGACCGTCATTACTGCAGAGTCCTCCTGGAGCCTCAGGAGAAAAAGAATATTGACTTTCAAGGATGTGTGGTCAAACAGTTGAAGAAGAATTGCTGCTGTAGCCCAGCCAAAGCCAAAAGCTGGATTTTCGGATTCATGCCAGTCTTGCAGTGGCTCCCTAAGTATGACCTGAAAAAATGCCTCCTTGGAGATATAATGTCTGGTTTGATTGTAGGCATCTTATTAGTCCCACAGTCCATTGCATATTCCCTTCTGGCAGGCCAAGAGCCAATTTATGGTCTGTACACTTCTTTTTTTGCTGCGATAATTTATTTCTTATTTGGGACATCCAGACACATTTCAGTGGGTATTTTTGGAGTGTTGTGCCTCATGATTGGTGAAGTGGTAGAACGGGAGGTACACAAAGCTGGGTATGGGATGGAATATACAGTTCAACCTGACCTTTTTAATCATATAAATGAAAGTGTCATCACTCCAGCTGCGAACCAAACCTCAGGACAGATCTGTGATAGAAGCTGCTACGCAATTACTGTTGGCACAACAGTAACTTTCATAGCTGGAGTTTATCAGGTAAGAAATGGTAGAACAAACAGGTTCTTGGCAAAAATAATAATTTACTGTGAGTCATTATGTCTAGAAAACTCCTTATAATTGTAGAGCATTATACAAATGTAAGCTGCTGTTATTTTAAAAAATCCTTTGCTTTATGAGTTTGTGTTTGCCAGAATTTAACTTATTGTTCATTGTTATCTCACATTGTCTTGTGATCTCTAATTGATCATCTTGAGGAGGTGCTGAGGTATCAAATGCTCTGGAAACAGCACAGATCATTGCTCCTGAAGTGGAAAGTGTTAGTGGGTTTTTAAATAGGCATATTACCACTGATGACTTTGGTGCACAAAAAAACCCTATTAAGTGTATAGACTAGAAGAGGTGGTGGGCCAGTCTCATGTTGAGAATGACAGATGGTAAGCTCAAATGGTGCAGTGATATCCCTGAGATATTAATAGAACAAGAAGAAGGCCTCCAGCATGTTGGGTAAATTCATTATGGTGAATTTATGGGAAAACACGGACAAGAATTGCATATGGAACGTGTGAGAGGTCAGCACTTTTGTGCTGCTGAAGAGAGGCCCAACACCAACAAAAGCACATACCCACCAAAGTACCCGCTATCACCCTTGTTGGATTTCCTCCCACCTCCACCCTCCTTGCCCCACTGAAACCCCATTTTAAAGGGACACGTCATAGGTGACACAGTGAGAAAAATCACTTGATTCAGGATATGATTTAGATCACATCTCTGCAGTTTATCTGACATCAGGCATGTTACTTTCCCTCTCTACTCCTCACTTTTCCTCATTTGGAAAATGAGGCAGTTGGACTATATGTATATTTTTAGGCGTCTTCCAGCTTCACATTCTAAGAGCTCATAAAACTCAGTTAATTCCACTTCATGGGATCAGAAAATCTTATCATTTTAAGGGATATCAGGGGTCATTTAGCCTAATTCTTACCAGAAACTTGAATCCCCTCGGCAAAATCCCTGATAAGTGGTTGTCCAAACTTTGGAGAGAGCTCTAGTGACAGAGGATTCACTGTTTCCTAAGAGAGCCCAGTCTGCTTTTGAGCTTTTCTTTCTATTGTAACAAACTGTGTTTCTTTTGGTCCTCACTTTGTCTTCGAAAGCCAAACAGAACACTTCAAATGTCTCTTTCATATGATTCCCTTTTAATTATTTAAAGACTAAAATAGGGAGTTTTTTTGGGCCACATGATATTACTTTACTGTATATGTGTTAGGCATAATTGTAATTTTCCAACAAGATCCTCTTTTAATACCTGTTGACAATCACTGATTCTGTCTTGTTAACAATACTTGATTAGTACAACATAAACAAAGATGGTTTTAAGTTTTAACTTAAGGTGATTTTGTAATTTTACAAAGTTAATTTCAATTCAAAATTTAATTTCAAACTGGCATTTATATTAATGTAGATTAACCTTTGTAGATGACACCTGGCAAAGAACCCATCTGGGAATTAGAAGCGGAATTTTATTTTTTTTGTGGGAAGGGGAGGGCAATCGGGGTTAAGTGACTTGGCCAGGGTCACACAGCTAGTAAGTGTCTGAGGTCACATTTGAACTCAGGTCCTCCTGACTCCAGGGCCAGTAAGCCCCACAAGTGAATTTTTTTCTTGGTGACTTCTGGGATTCCCCTAATTATCATAATGTCCTTGCTAGTTTACATCAGGAATTTTCTAAATCTTGATTTTCTCTCAAGTATTTGGAGGTGTTAGGGGCTAGGGAGACAGCATAGTGAAATGGACAGTAGATTTAGAACTGAAAAGACCTCGTTTGAGTTCTAGCTTTACTACTTTTACTAGCTGTCCTAGCTTAGCTAGGTGGCTTAGTGGATAAAGCACTAGACCTGGAACCAGAAGACCTGAGTTCAGTTCTGCCTCAGACACTTACTAGTTGTGTAACCTTGGGCAAGTCACTTAATTTCTGTCTTCCTCAGTTTCCTCAACTGTAAAATAACAGCACCCACTTCACAGGATTGTTGTGAGGATCAAGGGAGATAATATTTATAAAGCACTTAGCATAGTGCCTGGCACATAGCAGACACTATATAAATTCTTATTCCCTCCTCCCCCTTCCCCCCACCCCATTTCCCTATGATTGTGATCAAGCCTTTTCTATTCTTTGAGCCTCACTTTCCTTATCTGTAAAATGGGAGTAGTAATATTTGCACCATTTCCTCATAAAATATGAGCAAAACACTTAGGAAGCTTAAAAATAAGTGATATAAATTGAGTTATAAAGGGTGATAGTTAACAGTCATATAAGTTAACTTGTTTTGTTTGGTGCTGGGGAAGAAGCAAAGTAGAGGGAGGATGGCAAGTCCTGGGGTCTGTTTCTGCCTTCCCTTGATGTCTATCTAAATCGGGTTATCTCTGTGAAGAGAAAGGATAAGGAAGAGAACAAAATTATAAGGAGAGAAGAAAGAGAAAGAATAAAGACAGGAAAACTTCAGAAGTGACAAAGTCCAATTAATTTTGAAAATTAGTAGGACTTCCACTTAAATCCTGTGAAGATGCCCTGTTATGGCGTACAGTTGAGCCTGTGTTTTATAAACTATTTCAGCACCAGAATACATACTCTGCCAGGTCATACCAAAGCTAGAAAAGTTTCTAGTCTGTGTTCTGCAGTGGCCTATTGTCTGTCTTTGGGAGACTAGCTTAAGTTCAGAAAAATTCATTAGCAGATAGGCAACAGCTGATTTTTTTTTCCTTTCTTTTCTTTTTCTTTTTTTTTTTTTGGCCTTAACTTTCAAGGACAATTTACTAAGTTGCAATCTGTGTTGGTGGAGGAAGTACTCATGCCAACAAAATTACAAACCCTTAAGTACCAAAGAAGGGTATCTAAGACAAATGACAGAAAAGAAGGCAGAATTATAAGATTTACAAGCACTCCTTTCCAGTTGAGAAAGGTCTGCATGTGTTTAACCTCTTATGTGATTCCTTTCAGATAGCGATGGGCTTGTTTCAAGTGGGCTTTGTCTCCGTCTACCTGTCTGATGCCTTGCTGAGTGGATTTGTCACTGGTACCTCCTTTACCATCCTTACTTCTCAGGCCAAGTATCTTCTAGGACTAAACATCCCTCGAAGTAGTGGTGTGGGCTCTCTCATCACTACCTGGATACACATCTTCGAAAACATTCATAAGACCAATCTCTGTGACCTCATTACTAGCCTTTTGTGCCTTCTTGTCCTTGTACCAACCAAAGAACTCAATGAACACTTCAAATCCAAGCTTAAGGCACCAATTCCCACTGAACTGGTAGTAGTTGTAGCAGCTACACTGGCATCTCATTTTGGAAAACTGAATGAGAATTATGCCTCTAGTATATCTGGACACATTCCTACTGGGTTCCTGCCTCCTAAAGCACCAGACTGGAACTTGATTCCTAACGTGGCAGTTGATGCGATAGCTATTTCTATTATTGGTTTTGCTATGACCGTGTCACTGTCAGAGATGTTTGCCAAGAAGCATGGCTACATAGTCAAGGCCAATCAGGAAATGTATGCCATTGGTTTTTGTAATATCATCCCTGCCTTCTTTCACTGCTTCACAACCAGTGCAGCTCTTGCCAAGACTTTAGTCAAAGAGTCGACAGGCTGTCAGACTCAAGTTTCTAGTGTGATGACAGCGTTGGTTCTTTTATTGGTCCTCCTTGTAATAGCACCTTTATTCTACTCCCTACAAAAATGTGTCCTTGGAGTGATAACCATTGTAAATCTTCGGGGAGCTCTTCGAAAGTTTGGTGATCTGCCCAAGATGTGGAGGATTAGCAAAATGGACACAGTTATTTGGTTTGTTACCATGCTGTCCTCTGCCCTGATAAGTACTGAAATCGGTCTGCTTATTGGGGTCTGCTTTTCTATGTTTTGTGTCATCCTTCGTACTCAGAAGCCAGAGGCTCCTATACTTGGTAATGTGGAAGAGTCTGAAATCTATGAGTCCACGTGTGCCTACAAGAACCTTCAGACTGAACCAGGAATTAAGATTTTCCGTTTTGTAGCTCCCCTCTATTACATCAACAAAGGATCTTTTAAATCTGCCTTGTACAAGAAGACTGTCAGCCCACTGTTAGTGAAAGCAGCACGGAAGAAGGCAGCAAAGAGAAAGCTCAAAGAGAACATGGTGACTTTCAGTGGCTATCAAGATGAAGTTTCCATGAACCTCTCTTCTGAGCCCCCAGAGCTCCATACCATAGTGATTGACTGCAGTGCCTTGCAATTTTTAGATACAGCGGGAATCCAGACACTCAAAGAAGTTCGCAAAGATTATGCAGACATTGGTATCCAGGTTCTACTAGCTCAATGCAATCCCTCTGTGAGGAGCTCTCTGTACCGGGGAGAGTACTGCACAAAGGAAGAGGAAACTCTTCTCTTCTACAGCATACATCAAGCATTATGTTTTGCCTTAGACTTGCAAAAACAGAAAGTATTGAGTGCTTCCAATGGTTTAAACACTTCTACTGACTGATTACTGGGGAAAATCAAGGTAGACGGGAGGGGGGGTTACCATATAACGTCAGTGAGATTCTCATGTATGTTAGGGGAGAGGCATACGGGTATATCAGGGCTTGTAATTAGCTAGAATTAGGGGAAAATAATTATACCCATTTGGTGCAGACTAGGGTATAAAAACATTTGGGATCTACTTATGAAGTAGTTTTATGGTTTTAATGCTTAACTGTATTTGGACTTTTCCCCTTTTGGAAACACCGGGGGGATTAAAAAAAATACCAGAAGGGACAAGTGTTGTATAGACAGGCATCAAGAAATCTGAGTTCCAGTCCTACCACTGCCAACCTATGTGAACTTGGACAAGTCACAACCTTTGTGAGCCTCAGTTTACTCATTTGCAAAGTGAGGGGGTTGGACTAGATGACCTGTGAGGTCTCTTCAGCTCATTGACCTCATGGGTAATGAACTTGGAATTTATGGCAGAGCCACCATCTTCGTAGTAATGTGGAAGAGCATGCTGGGAGGGGGTTTGTACAACAGTTGCTTTTACTTATATCTATACTTTTGCTTCCTACCAAAGAGCTGAAAGGCTTTGGGATCACCAGGGTCGCCCAGAACCAGTTCTTTTTCTTGTGCCTTGCTTTTCTGTCTACCTCTCCAAAACCTATAGTAGTGGGACCTTTAGCATTTTGAAAAAGCAGCAGCAGCACTCTTTTTTAGGGGGGGATTCTCAGGAGGTTGTATCTTGATCAGGACTCCTGGGAGCACGTGCTAGGAGAAAAATGCCTCCCACTAAATGAAATTGTTTTCTGATAGGGCTAACACATCACAGGAACTTAGGTTAATGCAAGGCATTTTTGGAAAACCAGTGCATCCAAAGAGCCTAGCTAAATACAGACTCAGCCTAGTGTGTGATGTCATCTGATGTTTCCTTACTTGTTTAGACTAAGTACATGAGTCTTCAAAATCAGCAAGAACGATTTGAGGGATCTGTTTTCTACCTCTTTAATGTGGGGCATGTCATCCATGCTTACTCCTAAGGACTTCATCACCACTAAATATTTTTCACAATTTTTTTGTCTACTTTACATTCCTAGGAATCACTTCAGATGAGGATGACATTGTGGGGCAAGCACCAGATTTAGAGTTAGAGTTGGGCTTTGTGTCTCAGCTGTCCTGCCTGCTACTGCTACCTATGCAGGCCAAGTCACTGAACATTCACTTCTTAAAATGATGGGATTGGCCTACGAGACCTCTAGGATTCCTTCGGGTCCTGTGATCTTCCTCTAGGTATCTGGTAACACACCTTTAAAAAAGAATCTAGATCACAGGGTAAGATCCCAACTGAGTTCATCCCAACAAATACTTAAGTGCCTCTCACATGTAAGGTGGTGCTTGTTTCCCTCCCCACCTCTAGGGTATGATGCAGATTCAAGCTATGAGGAGAAACATATACCCTGAAGTTTTAGTTTTAAACATTTCCATAATGTTCATATTCTTCTAAAAAAATTATCTTTCAATATGTTAAGTGAAGACAGAAGTTTTGGTTCATCACCTTAAACTGGCTTTAAGTGATGGCTTTAAGGTTAGTTTGCAGTAGAGAATGTCTGATGGGTCTTCTTTGGAATTAATTTTTATAGTATTTCCGCAAAGGAGCCATACAGATTATCTTTCTTTGATAAAAATCATATTCTCAAGTAGTAACTCCCATATAGCAAACTGTGTTGTATGTTTTGGGGATAAATATGCAGCCCCCTAATGATGCCAATAATGAACTTATAGGTATTTAGGCACGAACTAATACCGTCCCTTGTGGGAACTTTCATCTGCCCTTTGGGTACCTCATAGATTATTGACCACAATGGTTTTTTAATTGGTAAAAATCTCCTAAGTATGGTTGTCACTGTATTAAATGTGCAAGGCACATTTATCGAGTGATAATTTTTTAAAATGTGGAGCTCTGTGTTTGACCCACTTACCAGGTAAATAGAAGATTCCACATTTCAGGAATAGCCAGTTCCTTCTTTATGAGAGTGAAACCTTCCAATACAGTTACTTCTTAACATGCTCCCTCTAAATTCATCTGTTTTTGATAGATTAAGTACTTCCTTACAGAGTGGGATGATGTATTTTAAAAACACATTTAAAAAAGAAAAGATGCAATAGTTTCTTATTCTTCTTTTCTTCTTTTTTTTTTTTTGGTGAGGCAATTGGGGTCAAGTGGCTTGCTCAGGGTCACACAGCTAGTAAGTGTTAAGTATCTGAGGCTGGATTTGAACTCAGGTCCTCCTGACTCCAGAGCTGGTGCTCTGTCCACTGTAACACTTAGCTGCCCCCGCAATAGTTTTTTCAATGGAGTTTTGGGGAAGTAATTAGAAAACATCACAAATTACCTTGATGTGCAGAAAATTTGGATTTCATTGTGGGGGGAAAATACCTGTCCCATGGTGACTATCTCTAGTGCTTTCTCCAGTATTTCAGTTTAAATTTTAATTTAAAAAAAAAATTGAATGTCAGTGTTTCAGGGCCACTGATAGATCCACATCATGACTTAGTTAACAGTACACTGAATTTTAATAATTGTTATCCTTTTAAATGTCTTCATTTAACATATGAAAAGATAACAGTTTTCAGAAGAATATCAACATTATAGAAAGGTTTAAAACTTCGGGCATTTTTTTCTTCTTATAGCTTTTCTCTGTGAAATAGCCAGCCATTTTTTCCATAAGCAGTGTGTACTATGAGTAGCAAAACACTTGAACGTTTGTTTTTGTTACTAGGGGGAAAATAAAATATGTAAATGGCGAAGGAAGGAAAGCATGTCTTAACTAAATTATTCCTCTGATGGGTGTGAATGCAGTAGGATCCTGAAGTGGGTGGTCTAGAAAGAACACACTGTAACAAGTCCTTTATAATCGGGAAAAAAATGGCAACAAAAATGTATTTTCACTCAGCTCATGATGTAAGAGTGTGGGGTCCTAGATTTTAAAATTTAAACACTTGTCTTAGCAGCTGTTAAGACTATAATATTGTACTTCGTCGCTTATACTTGTAGCACCATAAAAATAATCGGATACTGTGTGTCCTGGGATTATGAAATGGATTGATAGCTAATGAATTTAAATGCATTTACGGAGTGCTTATTCTGTGTCAGTAGTGATAAAAAGTGAGCTTGGAACTTACATTTCTTAAAGAGCTGTATGAATTAAGTGGAATCACAGGACAAAGGTGTTTGAAAGATAAGCCAGTCGTTAACCACATATTAACTCACGGTTCCTTTGTCCCACTCAGTTCTTGCGCATTTGAATTTATGTCCCCTTCAAAGTGAAAAAAAGAATCAAGTTAGTTAATTTCTCTTTTACAAATTTAGGAAAATTCATCAAAATCAGCCCAGATCTGTGATTTTATCAATACAAGGAATTCCCACTGTGGCAGCTCCCTCACTTATGTAGGCTGGCAATTCATAGGTAACTAGATCTTAGTTGCCTGGGCCATGGCCCCATTTATCAGTAAAAATTTTATAGAAGTTGATGTTTCAATGAATTCTTAAATTCATTGAGATGTATTTAAGTGTCATTATTCAGAACATTGTATCACAACACACTGTAGGTTTACTATCTTAAATTTGCCTTGTTAGTTGTTGCTAATATTTGCAACATTTCTCTAACCTTCTAAATACAAAGAAAAGAAACCCTTAGCCCTTGGATCTCTTAAGCCCAGGTTTAAATAGTGACTCCCACCCATCACATGCTGTCTAATTGGAGGTGGAACTGAGAGCAAATAATGGTTAAAAGAACTCGTGCTGATTTTTTATTACAGCAAACCCAGTACAGTAGAATTTGACCTGTGTTTATGCATGTATAGCAGCATGTTTCGTTGGTCAGTCAACAGTTATTCAGCACTTTAACTATGTGCCAGGCACTGGCCAAGTCCTGGAAATACCAATACTAGCAGAAAGAAAAGCAGTCCCTGCCCTCAAGGAAGTGATATTCAACATATAAAAGTAATGTATGGGGTTGTGGGGCAAGAGATTAAGGTACCTAGCATGGTAAAGAAAATCCAGAGAGTCTGGAGGATGGCCTGGAGAGGAATGAAGATAGGGCTGTCCTGGCCAGCCTCCTTAAAGTGGAGGTTCTGAGAAACCATAATCAGAGGGAAAGACCCTGAGGTGGAGGCTACTTCCATTGTGGGAAGTCCAGGGACGAAGTGAGTTTCTAGATCGAAGAGGTTTCTATGGTATAAGGGCAAGGAAAAATAATTAGTAAACTATGGAGATCTAGTTTCAAATCTTATTTCAAACACAGCTAGCTCTGTGACCATATCACCCTCCTGTTCAATAAACTCGAGTGGCTTCCTATTACTTTTCAGGATCAGATATAAAACCATCTCAGCTTTAAGCCCTTCACAACCTAGCTCCTTCCTATCGTTGCAGTCTTGCACCTCACCCCCTCTACAATTCAGCAACACTGGACTGCTTGCTGTTCTTTGCACAAGACACTCCAGCTTCCAATTCAGAATTCTCACTGGTTGTCCTCCATGTCTGGAATGCTCTTCCTCCTCATCTTCATCTCCTGGTTTTCCTGGCCTTCCTCAAGTCTCAGCTAAAATCCTACCTTCTGAGAAAAGTTTTCCCAGGTCCCTACTCAATGCTACTGTTTTCTGAGGTTACCTTCCATTTACTCTAAATATATATCTCCTACGTACATAGTCTGCATGTTGTCTCCTAATTAGAATGTGAGCTTCCTGAGGGAAGGCTCAGTTTTTGCCTTCCTTTGTATCCCTTGGTTTACTTAGCACAGTGCTGGGCAAACAGTAGGCATTTAATCAATGTTTAACTTGACTGGTTATGCTATTTCAAAGGAAGGAAAGTTATTTTTATCAGCTGGGATAACACTAAATGAATTTTAATATTACCATTGTTTTAGAAAGCAATGCATTGTTGACTACTAAAGTCTCAAAGTCTATTAAAATTCCTACTCTTTCCACATAAACTGCTTTTAGGTCTTCTCATCCTATCCTTGCACATTAAACACACACACACACACACACACACACACACACACACACACACACACACTCCAAGACTTTATTTATCCCTGTTAGATTTCATCTTGTCAGTCCACCATTTTAGCCTTTAATCTATTTAGATCCCAATTATGCTATCCAAAGACTTACTTAATCCCTCCTAGCTTTGTGACATGTGCAGATCTGAAAAACACGCTCTTCTGTCATCATCTATACCTAAAAACTTCTTTTCAGTGCTCAACACTGAAAAGGTTGTATGGTAGTATATGGTAGTATAACCTACCATAAACTTTTAATTGGATTTGAGATGTGAGGCATGGATCTAAAACTCATTTTCCACCATTCCTCCAGTTTTTACTGAATGATACTTCCATTCCCCACTGTTGTTTTTTAGTAGGTTTCTCACACACTAATTCTTGTACATTAGATTGCATTTTTGGGTTCTCTTCCATTCCATTTGTGTGTGTGTGTGTGTGTGTGTGTGTGTGTGTGTGTATGTGTGTGTGTGTGTGTGTGTACGGTCCTGCACGCTTGCATTTTTTCCCAGTGCCAGTTTTTATAAATACTGGAGGGTTTTGTTTTATTTTTAAAACTAAACCTATAATTTCATTGGGGCAGTTAGGTGGTAGTAGGTAAGAGTTCTAGGCCTGGAGTCAGGAAGACTCATCTTTCCGAGTTCAAGTCTGGCCTCAGACAATAGCTGTGTGACTCTGGGCAGTCACTTAACCCTGTTTGCCTCAGTTTCCTCATCTGTAAAATGAACTGGAGAAGGAAATGGCAAACCACTCCAGTATCTTTGCCAAGAAAACCTCAGGTGTGGTCACAAAGTCTGACATGACTGAAAAAACAAGTCTTAGAGTTGCCTGGGGTACTAAAAGTTAAGTGAGTTACCTGAGGGTCACACAGCCAGTATGGATCAGAAGTGGAACTTGAATCCAGATCTTCCTAAGATTGGCTCTCTATTCATTATGCCAACCTGCCTCATATAACACATATATTTTAAAATATACTAGCCCTTCACTCATTTTATTTTGCATAGCTCTTGATATTATTTAATGTTCTATCATTGAGTTTTATGAAGTAAATTCTACTGATCAATAAGCTATCAAAATAGTAACTATTGGTATCTTGATTAATTGTATTGAATGTATAATTTGATTTGGGAATTAATTATTTTTAAACTATATTTGCTGTACTCAGTTTTCTGCTTTCTGTCAAAATAATCTTGAAGTTATCTTTATATGTCTCTTTTTTATATGTTAGGTTAGTGTCAAAATATTTGGTATATTTTTGTCATTATAACAAATGGTATTTCTCTACAGTTTCTCTTTTTTTTTGTTGTTGGTAGTGGTGTATATAGAAATGCAAATGATTTTTGGCTAAAGTAATTTTTATTTTAGAGTTTCTCTGTTGAGGGTTTTTAGTTTTCTAGGTATGTAATCATGTTACTTGCAAATAGAGATATTTTAATTTCTTTACTGACAAAGCTTATTCCTTTTTTTATGCCTCACTATTGTGGCTAATATTTCTAAGGCTTTGTTATACAGGAGGGATGAAAACAGATAGCCATTGATTTATTCTTGTTTTTAGTGGGATTGCTTTTAATATTTCTGTTGTATACAATATTAGCTCACAATTTTAAGTACATACTTAATATTAAGGGGAGTTTGGTACTATATTTTTAGTGGGGTTCTTTTTTAGCATATGTTTATTATCTGTCATATTGTCTTATGTCTGTTATGTTATTATTTTAAAAATAAAATTTTATTATATTATATTTTTAAGGCTAAAATTCACACCCAGACACATTAGTTTGAGGTTAGAGTAAAAAAAAAATCACTGCTTAGGAAAATCTTAGGTGGATATGGTAATACCACTTTTTTTTTTTAATGGACAAGAACAAGTGTGTGTGTGTGTGTGTATGTGTGTATTTATATGTCGCAACATTTTATGGATCAGCACCACAATAAAAGAGATCCCAGCCAGTGTGTGATGTGTATCAAATGAGGCTGGTGACTTTGCACAGCCCGCCCTCACTCAAATCCAATTCATTTGCATGTCAGGGCAATCCTCTTCGAGAAGGAAGGACAAGCAAGAGCGACCAAACTACGCACAAGAACTGGCAGTCAGTGGACATTAGGAGGGGGTAGAGGACGGAGAGTTTTTTGAGATGATT